AGGGATAAAGGAGTCCGAAGCAAATCCCTCTCATGACGTACTGAAAGAGTGATCAGATTGATGGGAAGAAAAAGTAGAGAATGCTGAAGTATCAGAAGCTGTCAAAGGCCAGAGTGGTAAGAAAAGAGATCTGGCCCTGAGATCTGTCCCCAGGTAAATAGAAACTCCCCCCTCCCCCACCCCACCCCACACACACACCCTGTGAGATGCTAGTGTCCCAGCTTTTCTAAGCTGATAATGTGTTGTAAACTACAAAATATTGTTAATTAAATGTGCTAATTAGACATATTTTCTTTATTTGTGCCTTGGAAGGATAGTCTCCTGCTTGTTGTGCATGCACATTTTCTTTTGAGTCAAACAAAGGAAGGAGCTGGGAAAACATTTGCCGGGTCTTGCTAGCTATACACCCACTTCCCCTCTTCCTCCCCCTGCAAATGAGTTGCTCTTTCAAACACTCACACTTTGTGGCTGAAGAATTCAAGAAGGAAGGAAAAATGCCAATAATTTTCTAAGCTGTTAATAATTGTCATTTACCAAAGCGTTGCAGTGTTGCAGAAATGACACTGATTGCCCTGTTGTCTTGTGCTTAAAAGGAGAAAAAAATGCTTGTGCTGAAAAGTGTAACTCAGTTAATGGCATGTGCTAATCAATACGTTAGCGTTGGCCCTAGCTAGGACCCTATATTCTTGTAGCAGCCAGAGGGCTCTGAAAAGAGGAGGAGAGACAAGAAGCTCTTTCTTCCTTCAAGCAGTAATAAGAGGTTGACAGTGCAAATGTACGGGTGGAGCCAGACATGGTACCCCCTGGCAGGCTCTCGTGGGGGCTGCAGCATATGAAAACATTTCAGTGAGGGAATGGCACAAAGGTGTACATGTGTCCCTTGGCTAAAGTTTTCCTTTTCAAAGTGTTTCCAGGTGTGTTTCATTTGAAAATGTTTGAGTTGTCACATTGTCGACCCCACTATCACACCTGCTAGAAAACACACCTCCCCAAGAAGACTGTGTAAAACCAGTGTAGCCAGTTGTGGTGCACAGTCCACTGTGTTTGGCGTGCAGCATGTTGGGAAGGGATTGTAAAGCAAAAGAGCAGGTTGGTCATGGGACAGAGCAACACTCAGGGTGGAGTGGGGCTTGTCTTGTGGTACACCTGCCAAAAAGGTAAGCCATTACCAATGTAGAAATCCCATCCTTTCTCCTTCCCTGCAAATGGCAAGGGCCTGAGTTAGATAACATGGCATTATGCACCTCGCCCACCTTCCCCTTCCATATCTACTTCCAGCCAGCAGCTGCCTGATAAATTTTCTTTTTGGGTAGAAGGCAGGGTAGAGATGCACGTTATAGACTAACTGAATCAGTGGTGCATAAGCTTTTGTGAGCAAGAGTTCACTTAATCACACGTTGTTTTACTGGATTCTCTGTACTCCTCTTAACATTCTCAGTTGTCTTAACTAATTTAAATGCTTGTTTGACCTCAGCTGCAAATTTTGCTGGCCAGCTCTTCAACCTGCCTTAATATAATTAATAAATATGTTGTCTCCTGGTTCAATGGGCTAACGCATAGTTAACAAGAGCTGTTGGAAATTTTCTTAAATTCTATAAAGAAAATACAACTGATTGAATTTTTTTTTTCCTTTTTGACCAGTTTCCCTTCCCTGCTGAAAACAAAAATCAGCCGTTTCTTGCTGTTTTTCCATCTGAATCCATGGCAAAGATGGCACCCCTTCACATAATTCCCAGCTTTCCTGATTATCCTCTTGTATTTTTTAGTATGTAAATTGATACTTTAATTTTTACGTAATTGCCTGTGCTGTACTAATTACACAGTTGCCTGTACTTAAGTAATTACGTAATGCCATAATAACTATGTAATGCCATAATTGCACGTCCTGATTTGGTAGTTATATGTATTTGCAGTAATTATGGGCTGTGGCTGCTATAAGAAGATACGATTTTTTACCTAATTCAGGTTAGGTAACTGGGTGATAACACTTCTGAACCTTTTGTACAGTGTACTAAAAATAGCCTGCAGATGCTCTGAAATGAAATGATAGAGAAAAGCTTGGACACAGACAGATACATGGAAGGGAAGAGTTCAGCTTTAATGCAAATTCTGCCTGGGAAACATGGGAGTGTCATATGAAAGATTCTTAGTTTTCTTGGGCTAGGGTATTCAAAGGCAGTGTAAAATGGTCCATGTCTCAGCTCTGCAGGGAGATGCAATTTATCCCATGACCAAGCATGTCTGTTACTTGTAGCCTACAAGTTGTAGGTTGCAGATTCATTACAATATCTTCTTCCAATTACAATATCTTCTTCCCATTGAAGAAAGGCACGATCTGTTGGTTGTTAAGTACCAGCAGCCCCAAAACCAGCTACTGTGGCTGGTCCGATCACAATCAGATATTAGCAGGCATCTGGTGGGCTTCTGCTTATTATGGCAGCAGAACGTACCCTGGAGTGCATCTTGCCAGCTATTGCCAGGATCTTGTTCATTCCCCTGCCGAGTTCTTTTTGTGCAGCAGACCATCTCTCTAGCCTTAACATCAATAGGTCAGCTGGTGCAGGATTTACCCCAATCATCATTCATCATCATCATCATAATAATAATAGTCATAATATTAATACATGGAGTTGCAGCCTTAAGCCTGAGCCTCTGTTGTTTGCTGTCACCAAGAACTCTGTACACAGAACAAGTGTGATTTGTGTTCTTTCATGTTGCAACAAATGTTGTTTGTTTGTTTTTTAAAGTTAGATATAAAGGAATCTGTAGCAATTTAGGATTTAATACAAATGATATGGTGAGAGTTACAGTTCTGGGAAAAGCTGTCAGTCTTCAGTCATAGGAATCTTCTGTAACATACTTGCTGATAAAAGGCAAAGAAGAATGGGGCTTTTGGAAGAAAAAGGTATGTCAGGGATGGTCCTGCTATTTTCTGAGTAGAAAGGGGCTTGAGCCAGGAAATTTGGTTCAGTGGGGTTAGATGGGCAAGCCCAAACTTCCACATATGTCTTCAAAAATCAGACCCATATGCTTTGTCTCTCCTAATCCCCCTTTGAACTTCTGCAGTGGTGCAAAGGGAACTGAAAGGCAAGAGCTTATGATTTTCCTGTGCTAGGAGAGATTTCTGAACTGGCATCTGGACTCTTCTACCTCATGTTCTGGCATCACTGGTCACCTCTCTGGCACCTGGTTGCACCTAATATTGATTTTCAGATTAGCCTCCTCTAAATGTCATCTTGTATTCATCTGAGGCAAATCGGCATTTATAGTAATAGTTTATTGATACTATCGCTGTAGGAAGAATTTACTGATAAGAATTGGTGCCAAGGTTAGGTTTGTAACAGGTAAAAAATATAATCTATTATTTTAAAAAATGAATTTAAACAATTTCTGTTCAGAAACTAAGTCGAACTGTAAATTGAACAGAAAATGAATTGGGTTGTACCAAAAGCAGAACCAATGCTGGTTCAGACAAAAAGACTTTGTGTTTAAATTGCACTTTAAATACAGTTAAGAAGCAGAAAATATCTGGTAGCTAAATTTGGCAGTTTCTTTTCAAATGTATAGCACCTCATGCCTGCACTTCATATATTGGTTGCTTTCTGTTGAAGGGAATTCCTTCAAAAGAGGTGTGGAAAAGAGAGCTGCTTTTTGAGGAAACTGCTGCGAAGTGCCAAATACCCTCCATGCTTGTACAAGCTCATATGAGTTGTGGTCCTTCCAGGCCCTAGAAAACTAGCCTTTCAGTCTCTAGCTGGGTGCTTTCTACTATGGTGCTTATTAATAGCTTAAATGACAAATGACAGCAGGGCCTGTGTGACTAGCTGACAATGGCTGCCATTGTGGATCCAAACTATGCTCTGCCGTTAAACTTGTGACTTTTTTTAAACCATTGCCTCAGCAGTCATTCTATAAAAATCCTAAGGAGGAAAAGGGGCCAGATGTCAAAAGGGGACAAATAAGTCATTTCTCTGTTTTCTAAAAAGTCAGACCAAATGAATAGCAGTGCCACTTTACGCTGGGTCTGTTTTAAAATCCTGACTAGGTTCTGATGATGGGTCAATGAATTCCTCTACTTTTTTTTTTTTAAAGGTTCCAGAATACCTCATTTTGGTATGCTTGGCTGGTTCTTTGCTGACTTTCCAAAAAATCTTGGAATTCATGAGTTACCCCTTGATTATTTGTTAAGATTTCAAACAGAGTTTGCTCCTGCAAACTTTACTCTTGTGGGTAGCCCTATGAATTTCAGTCAAGTTATTTGTCTGAGTAAGAGATGAAGAATCTGGCCTACACCAGAGTAGTATTTATTACTATACACTACTTCATTCATTGAGGTCAGTAGCACATCAGGGAAAATGCAGCCAAATACACCTGGTTTTTAGACTAGGCATCTGGAAGGCAGAAGATGTAGACTGAAACCTGACCTGTGCTATTGACCCACCATGTGACCTTGAGAAAATTGTCCAGCATTTTCATGTCCTGTTCTTTAACAGAGGGACAGTAATACCTGTCTAAGGTGCAGAGGTGTTGTGAGGCTGATTTGTTGTTTCCAAAGCACTTTCGTATACTGAGATGAAAGGCACTGTATACTGTATCTGCAAGGTAGTGAGGATAGTAATGTTATACAATTCTCCAGAAAAACTTTCTAATCTTTATGATTCAGAAATCCAAGTTAAATTCTAATTAACAAACTTGAACACTTGTATAAAATACTTAGAAACGGTGTGGTGTCCAGATGGGACATATTTAAATGATAGCTTTGCTGCTGTTTCAGCAGCTTTTTCCAAATTTTTCAAAAATGAATATTTTTTAGTAAGAAAGTATTAGTGATTTGCTTTTGCTTCCCATACGGTGAAGGGCTACTTTAACGTGAACTTTAAGAAACACTATAGGATTTGCTTTCCAGATGGTGTTTACTACTTTTGCTTTTGGCTTTCTGCATAAAAGAATATCTCTCTTCATATGAGTTTGAATATGGTTTTCTTTTCTTTCTCTTTTAGAAATCTTCCAGAATCCTTGAGGATGACATCCGGTTAAGAAAAGACAGAGACCCAAATCGTGCCAATTTCCTGGAGGCTGTGAGTATTCGTGCAACAAAGGCAGAGAAAATGGAATGTGAAGTCCCAGTCTCTGAACATAAAAGCATCACCTCGGTGGCTTCACCACATGCAGCAGACAATCAAACCCACTTCTTTTCCCCTGTTACCAGTCACAATGGACTTAAGGACAGGCACGAATCCCTGGACAGTGAAGTTGCTAAAGAGATCAGATACTTAGATGAAGTACTTGAAGCAAATTGCTGTGATTCTGCTACCGATAACGCCTTTAATGGGACAGCTTCCCCTGAACCAAGCACAACCATTGTGGATGGCTCTGGTCCATCTGTTTGTGTTACCACTGATTCAGTACCCAGTGAAACAGAAGACAAAATAATTCACAGACAAGGACCCCCAGTCGTTGAACAGAATGAAGCTAACACAATGGCTGAGAAACTGAAGCCTAATGGCCACTCTTCAGCTGGATTAAACGAAGAGGTCTATGACAATCCAAAAGTGCCAGTGAGCCCAAGTTCTGCAGCAAGTTCAAGAGTTTCTAATGATGGGGAATTAACCTTAACAACCATTAAGAAAGAGGCTAAGTTTGAGCTTCGGGCCTTCCATGAAGAAAAGAAGCCATCCAGGCTCTTTGAAGAAGATAACGAAAAGGAGAAGTATAGAGTCCGGAAAGTGAGGCCGTCTGACGAAATGATAGAACTTGAAAAGGAGAGGAGGGAGCTTATTAAAAGCCAAGCTGTAAAGAAGAACCCTGGCATTGCATCCAAGTGGTGGAATCCGCCCCAGGAGAAGACCTTGGAGGAACAAATAGATGACGAGCATCTAGAATCCCATAAGAAGTACATGGAACGCAAGGAGAAGCAACACCAGCAAAGCATAACACCAACGTCACCAAAACAGGTGTCCTCTCCCTTTGTACCTCCAGAGCCAGCTGCTATTAAAAAAGAGGATATTGTCACAGAGCAAATAGATTTTTCAGCTGCCAGGAAGCAGTTTCAGTTGATGGAAAATTCGGGTCAGTCTAACAGTCAGACTGCTCCAAGAAAATCAGGGACTCCCAGAATGTTTTCCATCAAACCCTTCTACAAAACCATTGGCCCATCACAAGTTGACAGACCAGCGGCTTCTGTGACAAGACCTGCTTTTGTTTGTGGGCAACTGGGACAGCCTGAGAGCAATGATATACCTATTGTGAAAGCTCAAAAGGTTTCCTGTATCTTAGAGGATTCTCATATTAATATTCAGAATGCTACTACTGACCTAACAAAAGATTTGTCTCATAGCAATACCTCAAAAGCTGAACAGGCATCAAAATTGTGGGCAGAGGATGGTGAATTCATGAGTGCGAGAGCCGTCTTTACAGTGGTAAAGGATGATGACCATGGCATTTTAGATCAGTTTTCAAGGTCAGTTAATGTCTCTTCCCCTCCAGAGGAGCTGGACTCTGGTTTGGATGATCTGTCTGTGAGATCTCAGGATACCACTGTTTTGGAAACTCTTTCCAATGATTTCAGCATGGACAATATCAGTGATAGTGGTGCCTCCAATGAGACCATGAATGCCCTTCAAGAAAATTCACTCGCAGATTTCTCTCTGCCCCAGACCCCCCAGGCAGAAACCCCCTTGGACTGCCGAGTAGAAGGTGTTTCTAAATCATATAGTGATCAAGGCTTTTACTCCCCTTCCTCTACACTGGCAGACTCCATGCTGATAGATGACCAGTTGGAATATCATGCTGGCCTTCTTGTTCAAAATGCAATTCAACAAGCCATAGCTGAGCAAGCTAACAAAACAGGCTCTAAGGAAGCAAAGGATACGGTGGAGCAGCAGAACCCAGTGAAAGAACAGGAAACAGCCCTATGTTCTGAGAAGCAGCAGAGCACAATGTTTGAGCCACCTCAGGTGTCTTCTCCAGTTCAAGATAAAAGGGATACAATACCAAAGACTTCAACAGATGAAGACTCAGGACTCAGGGAAGGGAAGGCTTCACAACCATCCCCAGTATCTCCTGTCAGCCAGCCATTCGTTGTAGAAGAAAACCGACAAGAGGTCAGTTATTTTAGCAAGTACTCCGAGGCAGCTGAGCTGAGAAGTACCGCTTCTATTTTGGCTACACAAGAGCCAGAAGTGACTGTGGGTCCTTTTAAGCTACGGTCAAGGAAGCAGCGGACTTTGTCCATGATAGAAGAAGAAATCAGAGCAGCCCAGGAAAGAGAGGAGGAACTGAAGAGACAAAGGCAGGGTCTACAGATGGCACAGACCCCTGTTACAAAGAGTGCCCCTCCACTGCCTACCACCAAAACAGTGTCTTACAAAACTGCTCCAGGTAAGAGACTGATGCTAAATACCCTGCATAATCAAAGAGATTTGATTTAGGCTCGAGTCATCTTCACTGTTGTGCAGTTTTCTCTCTGCATCCTAATGATTTTTAGATTTTTTTTTGGCAGGGGGTACATACTTTTTTCTGAATTGGGATTGCTATATTCAAACACAGCAAAGCATGTTTTCATTCAGAGGCAAGCCATTTTCCTGTGATATACAATGGGAGCTGTGTAGTACACAATATATGCACCATTTCCCAAGCAAAGGAAATACAGGGCCTGGCTACAGCAGTGATGAGCTTATAGAAAAAGATTGAAAGAGATTAATTTCCAGCCATGCTGTACTATAAGATATTTATGCTGATGCTGCTTGAATCTTGCATTTTAACTTATGACGGTCAGAGAAAACAGAGAGGAAAACAGCAGTGTTTTTTTGCATCTGAGTATTTGAAAGATGATCCACAAAGGATTTTTTTTTAATGAGGCCCCTTTTTGTTTCTTTACAATGCACAAGAGCAACTTGAAACAAATGTTGGGGTTTTTTGTGCTTTATGCTCCCTATCTCCAGCTTTTTTCCCCTGCTGGTTTTGCCTTGAAAATATCAAGTGTCTCGTGCCTTGTAGTCCTCGATCTTGCTAAAGAAATTCCCATGAAAGAGTGGTTTATTTTGTGTTCCTATGCTTTACTGTCAGGATGAGTGTTCAAGCCATTTCTTCCAAGTCTATGCTTAATTTTGGCATGAAACAGAAATTAAAGTCAGTGTTTTCAGTAAACTAACTAAAAATCCCTTCTACTCCCAGTTATTCAGTTTTCCAGGCTTACAGTTGTCATCACACTACTTTTCCTTTTTCCAGTGTATAAAACTGCAAAAATCTCGCTTCCCATATCCCTTCTGTAAAAACAAAGGCAAACTCACCAGGCTTCATACACCATAAAAAGGCAAAAATGACAAAAGCCCAATTTTTCCCTTATGCTGGTCACATGTGCATGTAGACCAACATATATCTGCATTCCAACAGAGGTTAATGCTCTTGTTACTAAAGATGCTATGGGAACAAGTTTCATTACAGTTTTATGAATATGTAAATGTCGATTTAAATATTCCACCCTTGTTTGCATGGATGTAAATCTGAACCTAAGGTAGTAGAAAAGTTTAAAGTCTGTGGCAGACTTCAGCAGGAGTTAAATGTAGTTCACTGTCTTTCAAAAGAATCCAGTTTTGAACTGGAAGTGATACCAATAGCATAAACAACTAAAACTGCTTGTGATTTTCTCTCTGTATATGGTAATTTTTGTCCTGTTTCTTGTCAGTAGATGTAGCAAAATACTATCCCCATAAAACAGAAGAGTCCAGAGAGGAATCCCTATAAGTTGTAAGAAGCAGAATATTTTGAGGGATGTATGGTTCTGCCAGCCAGCCTTCTTGTTTTGCAGGGGTGGCTGAACTGTAGCTTGCAAGCCATGTAAGGCTCCCAGGCAATTTAAATGCAAC